GCCTTGAATATCCCTACTTGTAACTACGTGTTTATTGTTGTTAATTGAATTGTCATCAATTGACTGTGCCTATTTATTATGTATTACTTGAGAAAAAGTGCATAGTTAGGTTATTGTCGAACAACGTCACTCCCAAGGTATATGAGAGATCAATACGGCGGATGGATTAGAGATAACGAAGCTTTGACGTGATCATAGTGGGCGGTAAAAAAGTGCGAGCTAGCGTAATTCGAGAGAATATGACTAGTACATTATTGTAGTTGCCCGAGAGAGAATTACGATAAGCCGAGTGCTCATGATCAATAGAGAATACTTAAGAGACGTAGCGGTAAGGATTCCGACAATTGAAAAAATCATAACTCTAGGCTTTTTCAATTGTGTCTCCAACCCTTAGTATCTTTAGTTGTTAATTTACTTCTTTCATTTGTTAATTAATTAGTTAGACATAAGAATCTTAATATTTATAACTTAGGAATTATTCAAGTTTGTCTTCTTTGTGATATTGAATAGTTATGGTGAAACCTTAGTTCTCTGTGAGATTCGACTCCGAACTTTTAGTCCGAATTATATTGACAGCCATTGCTTATCCTTTTTAAGAATAGAATTGGGTGTGATCAATCACCTATAATAAATAGTAGCATAAAGGATTTTGATCATATGATCTTAAATTAAATGCTTGTATAAAATATTCAAAATAGCTTTTGAATTTTGATGATTTTAGACTTGTAACATCATTTTTAAAAGATAGTGTCACTTGATAAATGAAAAATGTAAAAGTAAAAAATTTATTAAATAATAATATTAAATATGAGGCTTCTTTTGAAACGAATTAACAAAGAAAATAAAACATTGAAACGAAGAACTTATTTCACATAACTAACATAAATTCATTCAAATGATTGCCCATCATGACCTATATTCATCCATCTATACTATATTAAAAGCACGAATGCCCTTAGCGAAATGTCGTTCACCTTTTATGCCCCTTTAAAAATAGAGTCTGCACTAGACAAAATAGTCATTGAATTAATTTTCTAATATGTAGATTAATTATTTAATTAGTTCTCTAATATTTATGAATAGTCATTTAATTATTTTCCTTATATTTAGGGCTTTGAGTTTTCAATATTATCATTTAATATTTTCCTAAAATATTGTACTTTGAAACCAACTAAAATTTTAGTACTTATTAATTTTTTCCTTCATTGAACTAGAATTATTTTCTTTAAATAATACTAGTATTAAAACCCGCACGATGCGCGGATGGTACTTTTGAATATTAGTGTGATAATATTGTTCTTAATTATCTGCTCACTTCAATGCTATTAAGTATGGTAAATTTACTACATAAATAAGAAATATGGTCAAGGATGATGAATTTAAAAGGTAGCCATCTCAAACTCAAAAATCACATAGTTTCTAATCGTACACTTTAAGAACCTTTTTCCCAGGTTCCTAAACTGGGATGTTGTGGCATAAAGGCTGGAGTATTGATTCCTTTTTTTTTCATTTTACAGAGGTGACATCAATATCTCATACATAAAACATATATAAGAAGTTTAAAGTTTCACAAACACAAATAGATACGGAAACCTTAACTACAAAAAGACACTTATTCAAGTCTTGATTCATTCACTTAACTCACATATAACATAAAAAGGTTCCTTCTCATCATTCTGTGAATGATATAACAACATAAATGTTCAAATGCGATAATTCAAAACTTTCCAGTAGCTCTTCTAATATCAATCAAGTCGATAACATAAAAAGTCAAGTAACTTTAGATTATAAATCATGATTCTAAATGACAGAAACCAAATTAAAATACAACTTAAACTACTTCTCCTTCGTACCAAACTACTTACTAATGCAATCGTCTAAATAACCTTATTTCATAGATTTTTGTGACGACCAGACCCGTCGTCTCATGAGTTACTGTCTCGTTCATCCCATTTTCTGCTTCCTCATATTTCATTATCGGTATTGGGTGCATTAGAATTTATTTGGAGCGATTTTGACAAGAAATGAGACATTTAGTCTCTTTTAAGAAGGTTTAAGTTGAAAAAGTCAACCGGATGTTGACTTATGAGTTAAAGGGCTCGGATGTGAATTTCGACGGTTCGGTTAGTTTCGGGAGGTGATTTGTGACTTAGGAGCAGGACCGGAAGTAATTTTGGAGGTCCGGTGTTGAATTAGGCTTGAATTGGCGAAGTTAGTATTTTGGCGAATTCCGGTTGATAGGTGAGATTTTGATCCGGGTATCAGAATGAAATTCCGAGAGTTACTGTAGCTTCATTGTATCATTTGGGATATGTGTGAAAAATTTCAAGTCATTCGGACATCGTTTGGTCGGGTTTTTGATCGAATGTGTGTTTTAGAAGTTTTAAAAGAACTTAGGCTTGAATTTGATATAATTTGATGATTTTGGCGTTAGTTGAGGTGTTTTGACGATTGGAGCAAGTTTGGATAATGTTTTAAGACATGTTGGTGCTTTTAGTTGAGGTCTCGGGGGCCTCGGGTGTATTTCGAAAGGTTAACGGATAGATTTAAGCACGAAAAAAATAAAGCTGCTGCATTTTTTTACAGCACTGTGAACAGTAGTATGAACAGTGCCCATGAACAGTACCCCGTAACAGTATCCGTGAATAGTGCGGTGAACAGTACCCCGCAGCAGTATCCGTGAATAGTGCCGTGAACAGTACCCCATAACAATATCTGTTAACAGTACCCATAACAATATCCGTGAACAGTACCACGGGTGAACAGTAACACTGGGTGAACAGTAATTCCGAAAAATGGGCAGAATGTTTACATTTCATTCGCGAAAAACACCCCATTCTCCACCATATTTAGTCATTTTGAGAGCTTTTGGATGGGGATTGAAGGGAGTTTCAACTAAGATCGACTGGAGGTAAGTTTTATGAGTTAAATACATGATTTTATTGAAGAATCATCCTAGAAATCCATGAAAACATAGCCAAATTATAAGAATTTAGGGCTTGAGATTGAAATTCTAAATTTGGGATTTGAGGGGTCAAATTGACTCTGATTCTTGTGAATTTGATATGTATAGACTCGTGGCAAGATAAGGAACATTTTGATGTAAAAATTTCTGGATTTCAAGACGTGGGCCCGGGGCTCAAGTTTTGCAAAATTCGTGATTTTTGATATTTTTCGAGTCTTTTCGATTGGGTTATATTCCCTTAGCCTATTGTGATGTATTCGTTGTGGTTTTGGCCAGATTCGACGCGCGAGGAGGTCGATACGAAAGGAAAGGGCATCGCGGAGTAGTATTTGGCCGGCTAGAGGTGAGTAATAGATGTAAATGCTGTTTTGAGGGTTCCAAACCCCAGAATTTCACATCGTAATGCTATATTGAGGTGACTTGCACGCTGGATAACGGGCGTGGGGTAGAGCACCATTGGGGATTGTGACTTGGTCCGTCCCGAGAGATATTTTACTACATTTTTGGTTGAGATGTATACTTTATTATTGTGAATTGGGCTTGTTGCCATGCTTGGGGGCTTGTGCCGACCTGTAGAACCCTTAGGGGATTTTTGACTGGTTTTCCTCACTTATTTTGTTAAAGAATTTATATCCTCAGTCATGTTTCCAATTGTAGGCTTCTTACCAATTATTTGAATCCTTCAGGGATTGATATCACTGTTTTCGGATATTTTGCATATCATTTGACCTCAGTCCAAGGTTTTAAATATTTGTTTGCAAACTTAGCCATCTTTCTAAGATTTGAAAACTTAAATGATATTTCTAAATGATATTTCGGGCTGAGAACTACTGTTTTACAAATGCTCAAGGGGCTTATGATGATTTCTGGACTGAGCATGGATCGGGCTGCGCGCCGCAGCAGTGTTATATTGATATTGAGGCCGAGAGCCTGGTTGATTACATTGATATTGAGGCCGAGAGCCTGGTTGATTACATTGATATTGAGGCTGAGAGCCTGGGTGATTATACTGAGATTGATATGAGGCCGAGGGCCTAGATTTGATGCCACGAGATGGCTTGATATTGCGCTTGGGCTGTAGGAGCCCCTCCGGAGTCTGTACACACCCCCAGTGAGCGCCGTCGACGATAAATAAATATGGATGGCTCGGGCTGCACGCCGCAGTGGGTACCAGAGGGTACCGTCATATGCATTGCATTGCACTCATGCATTTATTCTTTATCTGCATTATCTGCCATAATAATTATGTGCTCTTATTTCATTGACTGGTTGCTTTATACTGTTCTGAGCCTGAGGGGCTGATACTGTTCTGAGATACTGAGCCCGAGGGGCAGATTTCTACTTATTATTTTGATACTGAGCCCGAGGGGCAGATTTCTAATTATTATTTTGATACTGAGCCCGAGGGGCAGATTTCTACTTGTTGTTTTGATATTGAACCCGAGGGACAGATTCTACTCGTCATTTTACTGCCAAATTACATGTTTTACTGGTTTAAAAGAAATTTCATATGATGTTTCACTGAATTGTTATTTTAAATGATTTCACTGCTTCTGTATAGAATGTTGTGTACCTTAACGTGTTTTCTTACCTTCAGTCATTATCTATATTTATTACTCACTGGGTCGGAGTACTCACATTACTCCCTGCACCATGTGTGCAGGTACAGGTATTCCTGAGGCATATAGCGAGTTTTCTACTGTTCAGTTTTCATCGGAGTTATCGAGGTAGCTCATGGCGTTCGCAGACCCGTTTTCTCCGTTATCTTCTGTTATTTATGATATCTTCAGACTTTGTTCCTAATTCCATACTTTGTTGAATTTTAGTAAACTCTGTAGTAGCTCATGACTTGTGATACCCCGGTTAGGGCTGAGTTGGGTTGGATTTCCATATTTTATCTATACTTTCCGCTATTGGATATTATTACACCATGTTTATACTATAATTGTGTTAATTAATTATCTTAAAAGGATGAATTGGGTTGAATGGCTGGCCTTGTCTTCATGAGAGGCGCCATCATGACCAGGTTCGGGAATTGGGTCGTGACAATTTTTCTCCTGTGTAATCACTCTTTTGACCTTATTACTTGATAATTATGCAAGATTATAATCAACTTCTACTACATATGGTTCATTCTCTTCTCTACTTCTCTTGGCAGGATTCCTTGCAGGAGAAAGCATCTCATTATCAGCCATGAAAACCTACAAAAAGAAAATAGTTAACAGATAATCAGAAAAGACAAATAAATTATTAAAATCATATTGTAGATGAGAAACAGAATGTATGAGATACTAAAGTCACCCTCGTAAAATGGAAATGTCAGTTATACATAGAACCTTACATTCCATCACTATTAAGCTCGAGTTAATCAAGCTTAAATCTTCTAAAGGAAGACTCCTCCAACTACATTCATGCATGATATCACACTTCCTACCTCTCTGAGTAAGCATCAAGACTAAGAGTATATCCAAAGGGTATATAAGAAGAAGAAAAAAATTTAGTGTAGATAATGAGATCTACCTTAGATTAACAATAAACTTTCTTCTATGACTCTCGATGGGCTAAAAGGAGAGAGGGTCAGGAAAACATTCACCTATTTTTTTCTCTGTCATTGATTTGCTTTGACAAACTAGAAATATCTTCAGGTACTTCATCTCAAGGGCTCTCACGTTTCACACTTTGTGGTGCATCGACACCATTATATAATAACAAATTTCTGTTAAAGTTAAGGCTTTATCTCAGGAAAAAAGCTAGATTCAGCAGGTCGAAAACTGTCTTCAACTTCATGCTGGCTGTCATTGCAGGATAAAACCAACATCACCAGAAGTTTAATGTCCGGACCTATAAACATAGGATTTTCCCTCTTCAACAACAAAGAACATGGAAAATTGTACAGAATGTCCACGATTTGGGTAAAGGAGAGATGCAACTGGAGTGCGGTCAGACATATAGTAAAATTTTCCACTAACTGTGAAAGTCAAACATCCCATCACAAAGAATTAACTCTGGAAACACTAATATACATGTAGTTGGGGAGCTTCTCGTCACCACCACAAATAGAGCAGTAAAAAACTAGAAAGATCCTTTTATATTTGAAAAATGGAAAGGAAAACAATGTTTCAGCTCTGGACATACGATAAACATGAAAATAAGTTATACTCTATATTAGATACTCTGTATAAGGTTATCGTTCTCGCTAATCTTAACAACATTATAAACTTTCGCATGCACTTTAATGTTGGAGCTCTTAACAGTCACTTTAAACATGACTTTTTTGTCAAGAATGTCATATGACTCCACTGGATAGGAACACTCATCAACAGCACCAGAAGTATAAGACCAGATTAGTGTTAGAAGTTCTAAAACACAAAAAGAAATAAAATAAAAAGTACATTTACTAAACCATCCCTTAAACCATTAGCCTACTTTTCATTCTGGTAGACTACATTACGTCATTTTATGATATACTTCTTATTTTGTTTCATTATTCACGTTAATTATATAATAACAATATCATTTGTCTACAAAGATTGTTGGTGCCAAAAAATGGCAAAGGGAATGGTATCAAAAAAATAATAGAGCTCTTTATTTTATGTGATATAACAAATGGCCAATTCCTATAACTATAAGGGTGTATTGGAGGTGCGAGTTAATTTTTACTATAATTTTGCATATATACCATATTTAACTTAATTGAAAAAATATATTATGAATTAAAATGAAAAAATTTACCTCTACTGAACTTTGATTTAACTCGTTAGCAGATTTCCCTATGAGTTTTATTGCTTCACGATCCCAAAGCAACAAAGATATAAAGCTAGTGCGATTCATTACTTGCACTTGAAGCTTGTACCTGAAAGATACGTTAAGAATAAGAAATTTAAACTTAATTTTTATTTAATTTTTTAAGTAAATAGAGAAGCTTATCAAACCTATGAATGGCAGAACTATCAAGGCGATCACATTTTTTGCGGTGAAATTGACTTCCAATTTTATCAACCTTCTCCGAGCATCTCTTGCACCCCTAATGTAACCATTATTTTTCAAGTTGCAGATTCACTACAGTTGCAACAATTCAAATTTAATTGTTGGAATATCAATTTAAATGCCAAGGAGCATAAGCTGTGAAAATTTCATTTTATTCCATTAAAAGATGATGTCCAAAACAAAATAGATATGCAGCGATAAGCAAAGATATTCAATTAGTTCCATTAATGTCGCTTATTAATTTTTGAATCTGATATTGAGGTATGTTATCATTATATTCCATTAAATGATGATCTTCTAAACCAAATAGATAAGCAGTAGTAAGCATCCAATCAGAAACAGAATAACTACGCTGAGAAGGTATTTGACTGATCCTGAAAGAGTTAGCTTCATTCAAACTTGCCAATATGTATTTACGCAAGGTTGTATTTGTTTTAAGTATAAACAATAATTTTTTTAGTATCCACATAAACTTAAATTTTCAAATAACCAACCTGGACTTAAAATCAACAGCTTGAGGAAGATTCGTATTAATCCAGAGCTTTGAAACATGCCAAGTATTACGCACAGAATACCTGCCTATATATAACATTAGTTTCAGAACCAAAATATTAACATAAAATAAATCTCTCATGTCAGAAAGACAATTGAAATACCTTGAAATTTGTGTGCTTTTATCATCTGCATAACCACTATAACTGGCTGATTGGGTAATCCCTCCAAATATAGCAAAATTTGGTCTACGAATTCTCCTAAAAAATTGCCGAAATATTATTCCTCCTACATAAATTATATAACAACTTAATCACATGATAAGTAATCTTGTTAAAATATATAACAAAGTAAAGTCTTATACGCAATCTTACTCATGATCTTCAAGCTCCACACTCGTAAAATCACTAGTCTTATCACCTTGGTTATGTGATTTTACTTCACCATAACTTACAATCTCTCTTATGACATCTATAATATTATTTTTTTTAAAAAAGTCACTACAAAGTTGATAAGACATTCAACTAAAAGAACTGCGAAAGGAATAATTAACAAAGAGTTCACTTTCATCAACATCAAGTTGATTTACTAAATACTCATAAGGTCTTAAGTCGAAGATACTCATACCAAAAAAGCTGATCATTTGATTCCTCTACAGTAGTCTTATGAGTAAATGCCAACTTCAATTTATGCCCCGTGTATTTAAGTTTCATATTATTTGGTCCAACCACAAGTTTTTCATAAAGTACAAACACAATTCCTCTATCTTTGGTTTGAACTTACGTATAAGGATCGACCAACAGTCACATGAATCCGATCGCCCCATAAACAAACAATTCATAAATAATATTGAATCAGAGAAATTCTCAATTGTAGAGTGTTGTCACATATTATATTAAACAATCAAGCACCAATGAGTAAAATATAATATTTGAATGTCTGGCTTTCCCAAATAACACATAATGCAGATTTTATGTTAATTACAGTTCATATGACACTAATCTTAGATATTTTATAGTTTAATATATCCAAAAATGTTCTTTCCCATGAAAAAAGTTATTTAAAAAAAAATACAAATGATTTCAAGTATATAAAAATTCTTTTCTACTTTAGAAAAAAGTATTTAGTTTAAGGCTTGGCGAACACTTCTTTACTTTTTTGACAGATAAACAAATAAAAAAGAATGCACCTTTTCATTTTAGAATAAGTAATATATTTCAATCTAGATCATAAAAAATTGAAATTGCAGTTGATTAAATACATGCAAAACCTGACGAATTCCATAGTACAAATTAGAAGATGGAGATTGTAGTCGAAATATGGGAAAAAATAAATGCATCTAAAAAGGAATGCACCTTTTCGTCTTGAATAATTAATTCAAGGGAGAACAGATTGGCAGGTTTATCGTGGTCTGGAATGTGCCACAATCTCACTACTCGTACCATCAAATTCCAACTCATCTTGTTACTTGATATATCACTGGTATAGTCAACTTTTGCCGTCATATTTTGCCTTAGAGAAAGTTTGATCAAAGAATTGTTTGTACAAAAGTATATGCTCGGTGCAACTATAATATATATATATATATATACACACACACAACAACAACAACAACAACAACAACAACAACCCAGTATAATCCCACTTAGTGGGGTCTGGGGAGGGTAGTGTGTACGCAGACCTTACCCCTACCCTAGGGTAGAGAGACTGTTTCCAAATAGACCCCCGACATCCTTCCCTCCAAGAACTTCTCACCTTGCTCTTGGGGAGACTCGAACTCACAACCTCTCGGTTGGAAGTGGGGGTTGCTTACCATCAGAGCAACCCCTCTTGTCGTATATATATATATATATGTGTGTGTGTGTGTGTGTGTGTGTGTAAAGTATATAATATATATTTGCATATCATTTTACTTGCTATAAATAAGAAACAAAATACGTGTGTTTAGGTGCATTAATTTTACAAAAAAGAAATTTTCATAAAAAGAGCCGGAAAATATGTGATTCAGCCCATAAAATGTAAGCACAAATAGAAATTTGAATTCCAAGCAACTAATTTAGGGTTTATATCTAAAATTAAGGAGGAAAGTCATCTGCACAAACATACCTTGAATTGGATTTTGGTTGGAGATGATAAAATGTAATTACTGTTGGGAAATTATGAATCTTTTCCAAGTAGAAATCTCTCCATTTTAGATAATAACCATTCCGATCTGAGGAGGTCTTTGCGCGTTTCTGGTTTTGTAAACATACACTGTTTCTTGTTGTTAATTTTCTTCTCATCTTCCATGAGCAAGTGATGTTGACAATTGAGTTAAGATGAGAATTGAGAATTTTTTTTAGGAAGAGATAGAGATAAAAAAAACTTTAGTAAACATGAAACATGATTCTTTTGTTTAAGATGTAGTGTTTTTGTAATTTTCAGTATTTTTTAATTTATTTAGTTGAAAACATATACAATTAACGGTAAGTAGAATTTTCTTGAAAATAGGCGATAAAAGTGGGATGATTGAGTGTTTTTTGGCCGAAAAATCTGTATATTAAAATATTTATTTTAATTGAAATAAGTTGCCAAATATTTTGTTAATAGGTTGCCGCTTGGCTTTTTAATAACTTGCCACTTGGCTAAATGAGAAGGCAAACTTTCTTGCTTTTAATATATATATAGATTTCAGTGTTTTTTAATTTATTTAGTTGAAAACATATACAATCAACGGTAAGTGAAATTTTCTAGAAAAGAGGCGATAAAATTGGGATGATTGAGTGTTTTTTGGCCGAAAAATCTGTATATTAAAACATTTCTTTTAATTGAAATAAGTTGCCAAATGTCTTGTTAATAGATTGCCACTTGGCTTTTTAATAACTTGTCACTTGGCTAAATGAGAAGACAAACTTTTTTGCTTTAATATATAGAGATTTGAAACCCTTTCATTCTATGTATGAACGTAGAATATCATTATCGCTTTAAATTTGTTTTAAGAAGTCAATTATTATTTAAATTAAGGGTTTACCAAATAACAATGATTTTTTTGTTAAGACTTTATAATGTATATATTTGAAGAGAAGGTAACGTAAATATAAATATAATAAAGGAACATAAAAATGTGATTGTTAGTTATAGGTAATTTGAAGTGCATTATGACATTTGTAATTCCCTCCATAGTTATTAGACCATCGAGCAAGGTCAATAAACAAATTTATAAATTATAGAAAAATATTACTGAAAAATAAACTTTTTCAGTACTTGTAATTTAGTTATTTTTTAATAGTTAGGACTTTAAAATCAACTGAAATTTTAATTATTAAATATTTCCTTATTTAATTATGTAGAAGTCCTAATATTAAGGACTTTAAAGTATATATTATTTGAGAGAAATAGGAGCATTAGGTTTCTTTTCCTCGTATATCCTAACGGCAATTTCCCTTGAAAATATGTTTCACATGCATTCTCTTATCAGGCAACTTATGAGTTTTGACCAGATGTCTCTATTTTTTGTTACTATTAAAAGTAAGAGAATTTTCTTTGATATTTGTTCAATAACTCATACACGGTTATAAATAAAATTTTATTTATGGTGAATATCTATATTTAGAGAGATTCTAGGGTTCATTACTTGGTGGCTAAGTCACCCTTTCCCTATAAATAGATGGTTCTATTCCATTGTAATTCATCCCAAAATCAATAAGAATTATCTCTCTTTCTTTGCAATATTTTCTTTATTGTTTTATAACACGTTATCATCACGAGACTCTACCGTCTCAAAAAGATTAAGAAACATGTTTTATGTTTCAATATCCAGTTGCGCCTATACTGAAAGGTTGTGTACGTAAGTCAGCAGTGTTCGTTGTCTTCCCTTACCTCTTAGAGAAGAATTAGCAAACAACAATTGATCAAGACCTAGAAGACCTTTCAATTGTGAAGCAAGATTAGAAAACGTTCAACAGTTTTATCCAATGGATCAAACAAATGTCGATATCTCTCTAGGTAAACTTGCATCAAAGTTCAATTATAAAAATATTTGTTTAATTGATTCATGTACGACACATACAATATTCAAAGAGAAGAAATATTTCTCTCATTTAAGTATGTGTAAGGCAGATGTTACTACAATTTCTGGTAGTTGTAAATTAATTGAAGGCTATGGAATAGCTACTATAACTCTACCTAAGGGAACAATACTTATCATAGAGAATGCAATGTTCTCCTCCAA